TATGTCGATACATGAGCTAATTTTGGAAAAATTTGCTCTTTTGTTTTTGTTCTACATGAACGGATTGTTTATAATTATCATTTATTAATTGATTGATAATCACAGGGAGGGCCAGAGAAACTCATAGACTGCCGGCACAACACACTATAGCTTTAATTAGAATGAAGTATGAAATTAGCCAACTTAGGCATCAGCGAGGTATATGGCGGGCTCTCAAACCTCTTTGTCTGAAATCTGAATCGAGGCTTGATGTCTCGCGCTCCTAATGATTTTTATACCCCTGTCCATAATGACTTGCGATAAGATTTGGGAGACGATCTTCGGGTCCAGAGCGTAACATGTGATGTAGTTCARGAAGCATTGTAGCTAGTAATGCTTACCGACTGGTTGGAAATTACAGGAAACTCAACACATAAAAAAATAAATATTAATTTATTACAAACACCTCACGAAAGGGAGCAGTACAGTAACTTTAACCCTTAAGTGCCGTATATGACGTACTGAGTACGTCATAAAAACTGTATACCATGTGCCTCATTCAACTGAAATTGATCCATTTACAAAGTTCCAGTACGCGAAAATGTAATAAGTCTAGAATATTCACAAATACGCAAATATCTGGGATTTAAAACTTACTTCGATTTAACACGTTGTTGCGCTGTTTACCGAGCCCAGGCCGAGGACCTGCGGCCCTGTCTTAAAATGCAGAGACTTTATTTTTATTTATTTTAGTTTCAACGTCGCAGTTTAGCAAAATGAGTAAGATTTGATTTTGGATAAAATCARGTTCGATCTTCGACTCGAGCACGTCTAAAAAAAGCTTCTTTTATTTTCTCTTTGTTTCTTTTTTTTTAACTTAAATATAGTTATAAATACTCAGTTTTGTTCCTTCTACGTGTGTTTTAATATTCCGAGCTTTCGAAAACATTTTAACACTTAAATATAGTTGTTGTAGATTTTTTTATTTTTTCCTAGATATATTTGTTTTCTTAATATYTACGAGCAGTTTTTGTGACGAAAAGCCTTATGGGGCCTCTCTTGTTGTTGGCCGAATCCTACCGTAACAATCCTCTTGTAACAGGCGTTCCTTGCTAGTCCTTGATATAAAGAGAAAAATCCTAGAGAAAAAAAAAAACAAAGTAACAACAGCAAACTAAAAGAAGAAAGGAAAAAGGAAAAAGCTAA